TAGTGTAAGAATTTCGTTTGTGACATGGTAGGAGCATCCCTGAAAAACCTCACATTTGGCAAAATAGCTCATTAAGATAACAGGTCTCAGGAAAAAGATGACTGGGACAGAACCCTCAAAACTTGTTTACCTGTGCAACCAGAACACTAATAAAAACAACAATCTTGGCTGGACACTGCTGCCTCATGGGATATTAAAAATGCACAAAGTCCAGTACTGCAATCCTGGGCTTTTATCCCAGAGAAAAGTCGTGCTCATACCAAAAACTTGCATGTGAATGTTCACTGCAGCTTTGTTCATTACAGACAAAAAGCCGAAACAACCCAGATATTCTTCAACAGGTGAATATTTAACCCATGTTTTATCCTTCCCATGGAATACAATTCATTGATAACAAACTTATTGATACATGCAATAACCTGGATGGGTCCCAAGGGAATTATGCTGAGTGAAAAAGCCAACTCCCCAAAATTGCATATTTTATTCCACTTATTCAGCATTCTTAAAATAACAGTTAGAGATGGAGAACAGATTAGTAGCTGCCACGAATGGGGGAAGGGAGGTGGCCGTGGCTATAAGAAGGTAGCACGAGGGATCCTTGGGACAGAACTGTTCTGCGTCTTGACTGTGGTGGTGGTGGTCATGAATACACAAAGCGCACAAAACTAAATACGCACACACATAGATAAGTGTGCAAGCATTGTTGTGTCACGGCAATTTTCTGGTTGTGACATTGCACTCTAGCTACATCAGATGTTACCACTGGGGGAAACGGGGTTAAGGGATCTCTGTGTAATTTCTTACATCTGCATAAGAATCTACCACTATGTCAAAATAAAAAGTTGTTTCTTTATTTTTTAAATGTTAGTTCCCAAATTTAGTTTGTTTCTTGGAAAATGCAATCAACGGTAGCTACCACACAGGATTTTCATGAGCATTAGAGACAATGAATGTAAAAGCACTTTGAAAAGTGCCAAGTTGGCAGCACAGTATTATGTATGAAAAAATGAATGACCAATGGAGGGGAGTCTAGTTCTACCAAAAAGGAGCAGTGATGATTAAATCACATGATGCACATGATGTGAGGATAGGATTTTTTGTAGCTGAGTGGGTGCTTGATATAGTATGTGTGATATTTACTGAAGATCAATAGAAACAGAGGGGAATATCTGTTTTTTGTCATCTACAAGGTAAAATTCTGTAATGTCAGAGTTATTTGAAATAACTTGAATGAACTAATTCATCTGTTTTCAAGTCGTGTAATTTGAGTTGGAAAAATATTGACTGAACACTTTTCAGGTACTACCCTGTGCAAGGCACATGTAAATAAAGCACAGTACTCCTACACACACTGAGGTGGCTACAGCACATCTGGGAAAGCGCATTTCACACTAGCAAAGTGCAGCAAGGAGGTCCGCAGTGCCTGAGTGTATAGAGACAGCAGTGACCCACCTAGGCCGTTTTCTCTTTACCTGGTTTATAAACATTGTAAGGTAGCTTTAATTTCTACACAGCAAAGTCATTAACCACGTTTTTAAAGAGCTGTTTGTTTTAAATGCACAACATGAGAGGAGAGGTCCTGGTTTATGACTGCTGAGCACAGGAGAAAAGTGTAGCCTGCCACCCGAGATGGGAGGGAGGCCCTGGTGCAGGCACTCAGATGAAATTTTCTTCAAACAGAGCCAACAGTGCACATGTCTGTGCAACACTCCAACCAAGAGCTCTTTCCTTCCCTACTGCGGATTCCAACCCCCTTGCCTAGAGAAAATTGCAAATGAACCAATATAATCTCCACATGTTACTGATATTCTCCTGTTTACCAACTACATATGAGCAAACTGGGGTTACAGAAACTCACCTGTTGTGGCAGAATAAAGTGTACCTTAAAAACACGATGTATCTTCTGGGACGCCTGAGTCTAGATGTCAGTAGAACCACATATGGATAAAAGTGGGGATATAATATTGTTCTGTGTGAGAGGAACTATCTCAACTGAGAAGGGAAATCACTTCTCAGCTCAGTACATCTGCTTCAAACTTCCCAAGCCTTTCTCTGGTTAGGATTTTGTAAATAACTCTTCATACAGATTTGATCATAAACCTTAAATTAAGTACTTGACGAAGACTTTCCACCAACAGAACTATCCAAAACTGTTCTGATTCCAGAGGCTGGGATGATCCCAAATTGTTCACAATCTTTAACTCCACAGGTGTGATCCCATCTAGATCGACCAGAGTAATTATGGCTTATCTATCTTCAAAACAGAACAATTATTTTATTAGCATCCCAACTTAAAACACAAATGCTAGGGCTTCCCTGGTGGAGCAGTGGTTAAGAATCGGCCTGCTAAGGCAGGGGACACCAGTGCAAGCCCTGGTCCGGGAAGATCCCACGTGCCGCGGAGCAATTAAGCCTGTGCACCACAACTACTGAGCCCTCGTGCCACGACTACTGAAGCCCACGTGCCTAAAGCCCGTGCTCCGCAACAAAAGAAGCCACCGCAATGAGAAGCCCGTGCACTGCAACGAAGAGTAGCCCCCGCTCTCTGCAACTAGAAAAGCCCACGTGCAGCAACAAAGACCCAACCCCGCCCCCCCCCCCCCCCAAAAAAAAGCTAGTCTCTTCTTTAAACTGCAGTTCTGAGATTCTGGATCCTATATATTTTTGGCAGAAGGCCTATTTATTAGCTAAGCCAACTATATTCTGCACTCCTCAAAAATGTACAGCTAAGAATCGATATCCCTTGCCTTTTTGTCTTTTTTTTATTTTATTTATTTTTGGTTGCATTGGGTCTTCATTGCTGTGCTTCATTGCTTCATTGCTTTCTCTAGTTGCGGCAAGCAAGGGCTTCTCATTGCGGTGGCTTCTCTTGTGTGGAGCATGGGCTCTAGCTGCGCGGGCTTCAGTAGTTGTGGCACGAGGGCTCAGTAGTTGTGGCTCACGGGCTCTAGAGCACAGGCTCAGTAGTTGTGGTGCACAGGCTCAGTTGCTCCGCGACATGTGGGATCTTCCCGGACCAGGGCTCGAACCCGTGTCCCCTGCGTTGGCAGGCGGATTCTTAACCATTGCACCACCAGGGAAGTCCTGCCTTTTTGTCTTAATGTAAATAAATGAGCTACTTTATAAACCAGTGAGCAGAGAAAAATACGTATGTGCAATCCAAGAAAGGAAGCAGTCTAAGAAAACTAAATATACAAAATAGAGACCAGATTAAAGAGAAAAAAAAGATCTGAACTAAGCCTGTGCAGAATTCATGTCTTCAATTACTGTAACACATTTCACTAGTTATTAACTTATAAACAAAAGTGGTCAGAGAGTTGCTTAAGAAAAACTCCTTTGCCTGAAGGTAGTCCTTGGGTCTATCACCTCCACCTGAAGAACAGAATGACCTATTTCAAGATTAGGATCCTTATTTTTCACAAAAGATTACAGCCACCTGTTGTAGGCAGGACACTTGACAACCCTCCCCCCTCAGACATCTATGTCCTAATGCAAGGAACCTGTGTTATCCTACATGACAAAAGGGAGTCTGCAGGTGTGACTACGTTCAGGAATTTGAGATGGGGATCACCTGGATGGGCCCACTGCAATCATAAAGGGTCCTTACGCGAGGGAGCCAGAAATCAGAGCGAGAGACTGGAGATCCGACAGTGTTGCTTTTGAAGGTGGAGGAAGAAGCCTCTACGAACTACAAAGGGCAAGAGAACAGATTCTCCCCTCAAGCCTTCAGAACGAAAGAAGCCCTGCCCCATCTTGAGTTTTAGAACTTCGGACCTGAGAATACACTGGTACAGTGTAAGCCACTAAGTGGTCGTCTGTTACAGCAGCAGTGGGAAACCAACACACCACCGCACGGTATGGCTTTAAAATCTCTGGATCCACCTTCAGTCAAAACCGCAGAAAAACTGTATTCCAGGCCCTGCTAGAGAACACAGGTAACTTCAGTCTGAGGCCCAGATCTTTACCCAGTCAAGACTGAATGAAGTGCTACTTACAGAGAATTGCTCCCGGGCGTGCGGCGCTCTGTACTAGTAATACGTTCCTCCAAATACCCTGGGTTCTATCTTGGCATCAAGTGTTGGATTAAGTGGACTCGAAAACTGCTCACTTGGACCACACCGCCTCTCAAAACTTTTCTCAGGAGCCGCATAACTCACTTTTAACCCCGTGATAGTACAAACGACGACGGAGGCAACCGTAATAAAGACAACCACCGCTACTGACCGCTTACGACAGGACCGACACTGTCCGAGCGCTGCGCCCAAAGTCCACAGCGGCTCTTCCTATTCGGCAGCGGCGCCACACCGCGCTCAGGGCCGCCGGGCCCGCGCCAGGCAGCGGGCGGGACCGGGAGGCCGACGCTGCGCGCCTCCACCGCCGCGACTCGAGCACACAACGCGCCGACCACAGCGCGCGCCCGGGACTTGGGCGCCGACCCCAGGTTAGGCTACACGGCCTCGGCGCGCTCCTGGCGTGGCCCCGGGCTTCTCCCCCGAGGAGAACGCACCCGCAACGCAGCCCCGCACGAGCCCCGCTCCGGCGCGTCCCTCCCCACGGCCCCGTCCCAGAGACGCATAGTCTCCGCTGAGCCGCCGCCAGGCCGCTCGCCGAGGGCCCCGGACACGGCGCCGACAAGGCGGCACCACCGGGACGAGGGGCGGCGGCGGAGAGACGCCTGACTCTTAATCCGGAGCCCACGTCGGGCGGCCGTGGGGAGCGCCCCAGGCGCTCTCCCGTGCCGCCCGCCCCCCGCCCGGGAGGCCGGGCCCCCCCCCCTCACCGGCTGGCCTCGCCGTCCGAGCCCGGCTCCGCGCGCCGCCGCCCGCTGTTCCTCAGAACCATAGCTTCGAGCTGGCGCCAACTCCTCCGCCGCAGCTTCCCCGTAAAAATTTGGCGCGCTCCCACCAACTCTCGCGAGAGACCGGAAGCACACCATCGCCCAATCAGAAGGTTCGATGCGCCCCGCCCCGCCGAGCTCCAATCGCCGCCGGCGCCCGAGGCGGAGATGGCCCGTTAGGAACTCCCGGAAAGGTGCGCGGGTGCTCACGCGGCGCGCCGAGGGGTGTGTCCCGTGGGCCCCTGCGGCTCGCGGCGGGGCGGGAAATGTCCGGCCGTCCCAGCCCCCTGCCCCGCACCCGGAGCCCAGTGGGGTCGATGTCCCCGGCCCGCGCTGCGCCGGGAAGGCGATGGCGCCGGCGGCGTCGAAGCTGAGGGCCGAGGCCGACGTCGGGGCATTCCCGCGGCGGGCGCTCGCCCAGTACCTGCGCCTCCTGCGGCTCTACCCGGTGCTCACCAAGGCGACCACTAGGTCGGCGCGGAGCGGCGGCGGAGGGGACGGGCCTGGGCGGGGGGCCGGAGCTTGGACGGCCCGGTGACGCAGCCCCATAGGTGCATCCAACGTGGGGGTTTGAGCGTGAAAGGCAAAATCTGGTGCGTCAAAACGACCCTCCAGAGGCCTTAAATTAACCAGAAAGCTCAGCACGTGCCGTACTGTATATTCGGTTCCGAACCGTAACTCTTAGACACCCTAAAATGTGGACCCAGGGACCAGACTAAAGGAGTGCACGAGCCGAAGGACCCTGCAGACCTCGGGGCCTCCAGCCCCTCTGCCCCGGAGGTGACGGCCGTCCGGGGTGAATGGGGCCCCGGGGGAGAAGTCTGTCACCCGCCAGCCTGCGCGGCGTCCGCTGCTACCTTCCGGCTTGTTAGTACCTGCTCTTGTTTTGAGCACTAGAATGAACTAGAATGGGTTGAGGTGAACGCCTTTAGGAAGTGCGCGGGAAGCCTGGACGGGGTGGGAGGTGTTAAGGCTTGTTTTCTTTGGCAGCTTTGCATGTGGGAGAAAGCCGACACAGCGCTCTCGGTGCTCGGTTAGGTCGGCCCTTTGATTTGGAGTACTGAGCTTTTTGTGAGACATCCCCCCTTCATTACTTTCAATTAGTCGACTTTATAAGTTTGTCCCCTTTTATTAATTTAGCCGTTCATACTTGTGCACAGCTGCTTCCTGTGTGGGGAGCATTAGCGGTGATTAAGGTAAGTAAGTTCCTACCCTGACGGAGCTTGTATTCTAGTAAAGAACTAGACAAAAAGCAGATAAATGTATAACACAGATAAAGTGGTCAGGGCAGTTTTTATCTGAGGAGGTGACATTTAAACAGCGGGTGCAGAGGTCCTGAGGGAGGAGCTAGCTAGTAATGGTGGAGTGGAAGGTGGGTCTGTGTCCCTGGAGAACATGAACAGTGAGCAAGGGGGACGATGAGAAAGAAGTAGCCAAGGACCAGATCAAGAGGCTCCTTACTGTCCCTTCTAAGAATTTTGGATTTTATAGCTTAGCGAGCTTCTCAGAACGCAGCTGTAGACCAAGCCTTTGAGCAACTGGGCCTGTCTCGACCTTTTTATTTGAAAATTTTATTGTGATAATTGTAGATTCACATACAGTTGTAAGAAATAATACAGGGAGATCCCTTGTATACTTTTCCCAGTTTTCCTCATTGGCAACATTCTGTGAAACTGTAGTACAGTATCCCAACAAGGACACTGGCATGGATACAGCCCATAGGTCATATTCAGATTCCCCCAGCTTTTCTTGTACTCGTCCATGAGTGACTGTGTGTTTAATTCCATGCAGTTTTATCACATGTATAGGTTTGTGTATCCACCACCATAGTCAAAATACAGAAAAGTTTCATCATAAGGATCCCTCCTGTTGCCCTTTTATAACCACACATGGTAACCTTTTGCAAAATTATAGGATAACATCACAATCAGGATATGACACTGATACCACCCACCAGATGGAAATCTTACTGTGCTCCTGTGTGTGTGTATTAAATTCTGCCATCTCCACCTTTTCATGTAGGGACCTCACATTTCGGCTGCTCTGATAAGGGTTCATCTCTACCCATCCCCAGCATGTTCTTAGAACCGCCATGCTAATTACGTGCAAGAACAGATGCCCTCCTGCACGTTTTCTGAATACCTCTCTGTCCACAGTGGCATTTTGTCAGCACTTGGGAACTTCCTGGCCCAGTTGATTGAGAAGAATCAGGAAAAAGAAGACTGCTCTCAAAAGCTAGATGTCAGAGGGCCTCTCAGATATGCCATTTACAGGTGAGTTCCATAAAGGGGCTGGTTTACCCCGTAACAGGCTAAGTGTGACAAAGCTAGGATATCAAGACCTGGAATTAGCTACCTCAGAAAAAGTTTTTTAAGAAGCATCGAAGTCATCATGGGAGAAAGTCAGAATGGTGGATAACATTAGCTTCACTTATTTTATAGTTTCATTTGGTTTTTGTTTTGAATTGCATGGGTGAGGGTGGCCATTGTAATTGGGCTGAGAAACCTGAGAGCAGATAGGTCACCTGAACCTAAAATCAGACTTCAAGACCCAAAGACCCTGAAAGAGGAAAACAGACTCGAATATGGCCAGTTAGGTTCTGTTGTTATTTTCATAGCATAAACATCCAGAAGAGAAATACGTACGTATCCTGAAAATTGTCATTTCTGAACCACTTTTTGAATTGCAGAAGCACAGAGATTCAGAAGTTTTACCTATTAAATCCACCCTGAGTTCTCTGGCCAACAATAGTGTTTGTATAGATGGATTATTTTGAAGTCTTTTGCAACAAGAGTGATTTTTTTCAGTTCAGAATTCACAAATAACATTTTGTAAGCATGCTAACTCGAGTTATCTCAGCTTTTTCCATAACATATTTAAAGTCCTAATCCCCCCAGAGAGGGGGAGTGTATCAGAATCACCTGGGAGGTCATCCAATCACAATCTTCCATCCTCAAGACTTCCGTTCTCTTCCTCCTGAGCAGCCCTGCCCTGGGCCACTTAACATTCTGTGAAAGGGTGGGGAAAGACGGGAGAACTGCTCGTTTAAAGACTTCACTGTCGAGCTGGGAGGCCCCTGGGCCCTCGCCCATCTTTTGATTCTGGACTCTGTGGGGCCTCAGGTCTGTTTTCCCTGTAGACATGGTGGCTGGGTTCAGTTCTCTCCTGAGTGCTCTGTGCTCTTTGCAATGAATAATCCTGATACAGACAAGCCAGTGCACAGCACCGGGTTTCAGCCCTGATAATGATCCAAGAGAGACTGATGACAAGTTCTGACACCAGGGGTGCTCCCATTATTTACCGAGCACCTTCTCGGAGCCAGGCCCTGTTCTAGGCACTGCAGACACAGCAGTGGACAGACAGACGCGACCCTGTCTTGTGGCGTTTACCTTCTAGGGGTGAAGAGAGGGCACTATATAACTAAGCAAATGAGACCATGACAGTCAGTGATCAGTGCTCTGAAGAAAATGAGACAGGGCCTGGAGTAGAGAGTGGCTGGGATGGTGGTGGGTTCATTATTCAGGACAGTCGGAAGGAACTCTCCAAGCCAACGTGTTGAGAAGGAGCCAGCCATGTGACAGCTGGGGTCAGGAACGAGCCTGGTCTGTCAGAGGCAAAAAAGAATGCTTGGAGAGGAGTCATAGAAAGCGTATTTTCTAGAAGGGCCACACAGACCTGTGTGGTCAGTGCTGAGGGACTCAGGGTTTAGGGTCTGGGGTTTGGGGGTGAAGCTGGCCCCAGGATGGGTGTGTCCAGCTCAGCCCCACCGCGGGCCTCAGGTTCTTTTTCACAGGGCCGCTGGGTCACTCCTTCCACCTCTTCGTGGGGACTGGATCCCTCCCGAGGCCCCCTCGGCAGGCGTCACGAGGCTGCTGCTGGGCCACCTCCTCTTCGCACCCGCCTTCCTGTCATCGTTCTTCCTCATCGTGAACTCCCTGGAGGTTGGTCTCTGCCATATAGCACTCATGCAGGCCAGCTCTTCTTTGGACAGGGATGCTGTGGTTGGAATGCAGAGGCTCTGTGAACTTTACACTCAAACTTAAGTTTCACATTGTCCTCTGTGAACGTCAGAAGCAAAGCACAGTCGTATTAGCAGCACCTGTTGGCCTGTGGTGGCCGTCCCAGAGAGTGGGCTGTCACACGTCCATTGTCACAGTTATAGCCCAGAGTATCAGTGATGCTTATCACTCCTTACACCTGCTGGCAAGTCTCAGCACTGAATGTGTTAGTAAAGAAGCACATATACTGGTCTGTCATACTGCCAGAGAGATCCATGGCACAGAAGTTCCAGCCCCCTAGTGGCCTTGCAGAAGCCTGTGGTCACTCAGGGTCTGGACATCACAAGTGCTCTGAAGAGGCAACTTACCAGTGTAGACTTAACATCACAACGGAAGACCTGGGAGGTGTGTTTGCCCAACCTCACTCCACTAACTGGCTCCCTCACCATCCCCTCTCCACCTCCGTGCCCGAGACGTGTCATGTTCTGCCCTGAAAGTAATTCGTTCAACCAGTCACAGCAGGTGAATGCTTCTCACTTGGGTTTTATTTTGAAACCTCACCTCAAGTTCTTATTAGTTAAGGAGAACACCCATGCTGTCTAAAGTGACCCTGGTGGGCAGTAGAAAAGATGTTTAAACTTCACTGTGATTGCTAATAAATCCCTGATAGTAAAAAGAAATATTTGGGAAGTCCTTGGGAAATCAGAGGTAGGAGAAAGTAGAGGGTGCCCATATTAGGAGTGAGGGTACCACAGCAGTTTCTCCCTTTTTTTTCCCTTCCAAATAGGAAGGGAGTATATTTCCATTAAAGAACAAAAATTTGCCTCTACGTATATGGCAAATGTTACCAAAGTGCATAAAGTACCCACCACATCATGAGACACGTGGGACCACACTATCCACACGGCACACACACTACAGGTACTTCTGCATCCAGCATTCTGTGATGCAGACGTTGTGTTACAGACTGCAGACCGTTCCACCCACCGTATGCCTGTCCCTTTTGTGTAAGGATTCCTGCTTGGTTAATTCCTAGAATTGTTGTCCCAAAAAGGCTGTCGTTTTCTGTCTTCCCTGCAGTGGTGCAGAATAATAGCATCAGCAGACATTTATTGAGCACTTGCCTTGTTCCAAGCTCTGCATCCAGTGCTTCAGGTCTTTGAGCCTCACATCAACCCCACCTGACGGTTGAGGAAGCTGAGGCCTTCAGTTATTTGCAGGGTAAACACTGGCCTGAGGTCGTGTAACGAGTCCGTGAGTCAGGATTCAGACACAGGTTTTGTGACTCTTGAGAGCTCCTAACCCTTGTGGCTTTTCCCTCTGTGTGAAGTTTGTTTCCCTACACTTTTTTATTTTAATTAATTAATTTATTTACTTTTGGCTGCGTTGGGTCTTCATTGCTGCGCGCAGGCTTTCTCTAGTTGCGGCGAGCAGGGCTAGTCTTCGTTGCGGTGCGTGGGCTTCTCATTGCAGGGGCTTCTCTTGTTGCGGAGCACGGGCTCTAGGCACGTGGGCTTCAGTAGTTGTGGCTCGCGTGCTCTAGAGCGCAGGCTCAGTAGTTGTGGTGCACAGGCTTAGTTGCTCCACAGCATGTGGGATCTTCCCGGGCCAGGGCTCGAACCCGTGTCCCCTGCATTGGCAGGCGGATTCTTAACCGCTGTGCCACCAGGAAGTCCCAGGTGTTTGTCTTTTAACTTCATATAAAGTTAAATTGTTTGCATAAGTTATATAAATAAAGGGTGTTATGGTGGCTTTCTCCATACAGGAGTTTAAAAAATTCATGCATTCAAATCTGTCATTCTTTTCCTTTGGAGGCTTCCTTAAAGGAAGATAATGGAAATATTCTCCTATATTTTCTTCTTCTACTCTTGTGATTTTTTTTTTGTACATTTTGATAGGCCCAAAGATAATAGAAATATTCTCCTATACTTTCCTCTAGTATTATGTGTTTGCTTTTAATATAGTGAGAGATATACTTCAGTCTTAGTTTTTTCCACTTAGATAGCAAACTGTCTCGTTACCATTTATTGAACAGTCCCCAGTATAGGAAAATGTTAACTTTATCATATTCTCATTCCCATGTGTACAGGCCATTATCTGGGCTCTTTGTTCTTTGCTGGATTCTATTCATTTCCACATTTCCATGATTTGGTTTGTTTTGGGCTGTTGCTACTAGACTTTTTAATTGCCATAATTTTACAGCATTTTAAAAAATTTCTAGTAAGGTAAGCCTTCCTTTCTTATTCTTTTTCAAGATGGCTATTCTTATGCATTTATCCTTCCAGATGACAATTAGAATCAATTTACTGGGTCCATTTTTTAAAAGCTCCTGACAACTTTCGATTGGAAATGCATCAGCTTTGGAGATGATTTTGGAAAGAATTGACAGCTGAGCCATCAGCAGAGCAGTTCTGGTGCCCAGACCAGCAGCGTGAATCACATCGTCAGCTCAGCTCTCAGGGGTCATTGGGCGAAGGTCGCGCACAGTGTGAGCGCTGTTCTGATGATTTTCCTGCTGGATTGTTAGCTCCTTGCTGCACCGCTGCTCAAGCACACGTGTGTGCTGTGTCCATATAAATGGAACAAACTGCAGTTTTAAAGAAATCACTGTGTCAGGCTTTGGGGCCCCGGTATTGCTCACGGTCTGCGTTTCCCCCTGCGTTCCCCACTCTCCAGGGGAAGGACGCGGCCGCCTTCACTGCGAAGATGAAGAGAGGATTCTGGCCGGCGCTGCAGATGAACTGGCGAGTCTGGACTCCAGTGCAGTTTATTAACGTCAACTAAGTCCCTTTGCCAGTAAGGCCAGCCCGGCACCGCGGGGCCAGAGAGGGGCTTCGAGCTCCCCCAAAGCCCACCCCCGCCTGCCTTCTTTTCGAGCCTCAGGGTCACCCCACGTTCCGGATTCCTCCTGGGGCTTTCCTCTTCGCCCGGAATCGTTACCGGTCTGGATTCTGGCAGGCAAAGTGACATAGAAGGAGGGGCCTCCCAAGCGGCGTCCACGCTGCGCCCTTTCCTCCCGGGCAGCGCTCGGCTTTCTAGGGCTGGATTGCAGCCCGCGCCCACGAAGCTGCGGGAGGGCAGCCTCCCCTGCAGGGACGTCAGGGCCACAGCGGGGCGGGGCAAGGGGCTCTGAGCCGAGGGTCGGAGCGTCTGGGTGGGGAACCTCTGCAAGCGGGACCGCAGGCCGCAGGCAGGCTGCGGTGAGGCCGCCCTCCGGTTTGCTGAAGGCCCTGCCGGTGTCCACTGCCTCCACACGCAGTACAGCCCATCTGTGTCTGGGTCCCAAGACCACTGCCGGGTGGACGGGCTCACAGCCTAAGTTTATGAGGGCCACGCAGCCAGGATGCACAGCTGGATCCTGGGAATCCATTGCTGGCATCCTGTGCTCCCTCCCTCCCTCCCCTGAGGACCACACAGAGCAAGCCCTCACCCACCCGCAAAACGCAGGCACGTGGCGTTTCTGCCCAGGGTTTAATGGGGGCTGGACACATGGGCACCGCCCCCTGCACCAGAGTTCCCTACACCCCGGGAGGAAAGGCAGGAACCCCACATGAAATCCAAGTTCCCAGACACCAGCCGAGCACCAGCCTCTCAAACAGGCCTTTCCAGGGATTCCCAGGCCTCAGGCCTGCTGTGTTAACCCTTTTCTGCACACCATTTAAGTAACCTACCTGAAACTAGCTCATACAGGCTGATTTCCATCCTGCTTTAGGGAGAGGAGAGAAAGAGACCTGGGGCAGGAGCCCCCTTGGGAAAGAGGTACCTTGCAAGGGTGGGAAGAGGGAGGGGACGGGCTTGGTAATCACACACACACCCCCCAAGGGGTAGCAGAAAACCAGAGGCAGCGATGGACAGCAATAGCTGATGCTGCAGGAAGTTAAATCAAAATAAAAATCGGAATGTTTCCATTGGCTTTAAAAATGGCCTTCCCAAGAGCAGCTTCAGTGGCTCGATGGGGCTGAAGCCAGATGGCTGAGAACTGATGAGTGGGTGGGGAGGTAGAAGATAAACTACAAGTCTCAAAAAGTCTCTCGGACTGTTGGGAAGCGGAGGGGAAAATGGCAGTTAGCAGTGGGCCAGGGGAGGAGAAGGTTTTGCAGCTAGGAGAAGAGTGGCCACGCTGCATGCAGGTGGCACCCCAGGCTGCCCCAGTGCCGGGGGTGGGCGTGGGACTGCAGCGTAAGCAGAGAGGCACTTCAGGTGGAAGGCTCGCCTCCCCTGTGAGCACAGCAGAGAGAGGAGGTCACTGTTCACTGGGGACCCCGGCCACACCTTGTCTTCCCTCTGGGAGGGGGAGGGGTGGGGAGGCTTGGGGGGATGGGTATTTTGAGGGGAGTAAAGAAGTGGTCACCTTGGTGCTGCGGAGGATAGGAGAGGAAGCTGATTGGAGACGGGGGAGCCAGGAGAGGCTGAAGACTTACGTGCAGGGGCCTGGGGCCTGAGGCAGGTGAGAAGGCAGGAGGATCTAGGTTTTTCCAGGGAGTGCATCTGAGGAACAAGAAGGGAAGGAAACCAGGGCTATGCACTGTGGTTCTAAGGCATATAGAAGATGAAGTAAAGACATGAGAAGACAGACCGGCTGAGGATGTGGAAGGGTCTATGGCAGGGAAAGTAGAGAGGCTGGAAAATGGAGTCCTTCTGACTAGTGTAGGGACAGTGCTGCAAGCCTGGGGTTAGAGACCTTCCTAAAAGGTGGTTGCCGGCGCATGCTTAAGGGGCAGGGAGTTTATTCAACACATATGTATTGAGCACCTGCTGTATGCCCTGCTGCTCTAGACTCTGGGGCTACAGTAACTAATGAGATAGACCAGACTGCTACTTTCATGGAGCTTATGTGCCTGGGAGACCCAGTAATTGACTACAGGTGATTTCAGGTGGGAGTATGCCTGTCAGATCATAGAAGCAGGGTAGTGGCATAGGATGGGTTAGGGTGAAGAGCAGGTCGTGGGGTTGTCAGGGAGGAGCCGGGTGAGGCCACCTGCATGACTGGTCCTGGGGTGAGAGGCTGAGCCAGGAGCCGAAGTGCTCAGTGAAGGAGTATTTTCCCTGCTGTCCTGTAAACACCATCAGGCAGGGACTGTCCTCACCCCTCTCTGCTGGGCCCCATCACAGTGCCTTGTACGCAGTAAAGGCTCAGCAGGTACGGCAGTGGGTGCGTGACTGACCCGCGACTGAGCTCTGTCCTGGGGGGTGGGTGCCTGATGAGTGTGCCCAGGGCCCTGCTCTTGCTGCAGCCCGTGTTCTCTCCGGCAGTTCCGGGTGCTCTGTGCCGACTTGGCAGCTCTGTTCTGGCACACCTACCTGGCCTCTCTGCGGAAGTGAAGATGACCAGGAGAGGTCCTCAGACACACTGATGACGTGGGGGGAGGGGGGAGGGGGGTGCGGGTGAGAGAGCAGGAACAACCCAGCCTGCCTCTAGATCATGTGATTCAAGATGACCCTAAAATGACGGATGGAGAAACAGAAATCTCTGAATGTCAGAATCCGTTTTTAAAAAGGTGGTCCCTGTCCTCAGGTGGTGCTCCCCTAAGAAACTTAAAATACAGTAGAGATGATTTCACCTCTCACCTTGGATTGAATTAGGATCACAATAAACTATAACGTAGTTTTTTCAGTGGTGATTTTAATTTCTCAGAATAATTGCTGTTGCTTTGAAAGAAATGGGTGATCAGAGGGCTGCCCTCAGATTTTTTAAAACGTTTAAGAAATTGTGGTAACATATATCACAGTACTACTGCTTGGCTACCTGGCCCCATAGGCCGCGGGCCCCTCTGGGCCAGGGCTGCCCTGGCCTGCTGAGCGGCCCTGTATGCCACCCTTTCAGCAGCGGGGTCTGCTTTCCCGTTGGTCATTTACATTAGCCCTTCCTCCCTGCTTTTTCATTCTTAGAACATTGCTTCCTGATTGCCTCCCATCCTTATTTCATGGATACAATATCTCTTGGGATCCTAATTATATATTTTTTGAATTTTTTTCTGTCTCGCGTGCTGCTTCTATTTTCTCAGGGTTTTTTGCTTTTTGTTTTTCCCCTGTTTGATCTTTGTGTTACCCTATCGGGATTTCCTGAAATGTCTGTCGATCCTTTTCTTTCTCTTTTTTTTTTAAGATTTTTTTTTGAAGTGGAGCATTTTTAAAGTCTTTATTGAATATGTTACAATATTGCTTCTGTTTTATGTTTTGGTTTTTTGGCTGAGAGGCATAGCTCCCTGACCAGGGATCAAAACCACACCCCCTGCACTGGAAGCCGAAGTTTTTGTTGTTGTCGTCATTGTTGTGCCGGGTCTTAGTTGCAGCTTGCCGGCTCCTTAGTTACAGCATGGGGGATCTAGTTCCCTGACCAGGGATCAAACCCGGGCCCCCTGCATTGGGAGTGCAGAGTCTTAACCACTGTGCCACCAGGGAAGTCGCTGAAAGTCAAAGTCTTAACCACTGGACCGCCAGGGAAGTCCATGTTGATCTTTTTTTTCTTTTTTTAAAATTAATTAATTTATTTTTGACTGCGTTGGGTCTTCTTTGCGGTGCACGGGCTTCTCATTGCAGTGGCTTCTCTTGTTGCGGAGCACGGGCTCTAGGCGTGCAGGCTTCAGTAGTTGTGGCTAGTGGGCTCTAGAGCACAGACTCAGTAGTTGTGGCGCACGGGCTTAGTTGCTCCACGGCATGTGGGATCTTCCTGGATCAGGGCTTGAACCCGTGTCCCCTGCATTGGCAGGCGGATTCTTAACCATTGCGCCACCAGGGAAGCCTGGGACCCAGTTTTGTTGGGGACCACCCATTTTCAATAACAGGTATTTTCTCCTGGGCTGGTCAGTTTACCCAGAGAGGTATCTTTTCATTTCTTGCCCAGGGTTGGGGGGTGGGGCAGGGAGAGTGGTGGCTGTAGGGGAGCATGGTATAAGCACAGTGGCCAACATTCTTGTGGCTAACTGGAGAAAAGGGGTTAGAGTCCTACTATTAGTATGTGAACTTCATATAATTTCATCTTTATTACTGCAGCCCAGTCTCACCTGTCAGGTGTTCTCAGATCCAGAGGCCTTCTGGTTCAGATCCTCTGTAATGAAAGTTCTCTAGTCTTCTGCCATGTTGGAGGTGAGGTAGTCACCTGAATACGCTGGTGATGGAGGGGATGAAGAGTGCAGCCTCTCAGGTTTTCAGTCAGTCCTGCTGTGTCCTCAGAGCTCAGAGGTGGGGCTAGTAACTGTAACTGGCCAGGCTCTGCCAGACTCACCGGAATAGATGAACTTGCTTCTTGGCTTCCCTCAGTGCAGGCGACAGATATTCCATCTCCTCAGATCAATAACAATCTGATTTACAGCTTCCAAACTTTTGTCAGCTGATCTCGTGGCTCTGTCTCTTCTGTGACTCAAGTATGTCCTTGTAGATTGTCTTTTTAAATTTTTTTGCTATCATTTTAATAAGCGACCTTCTGGAAGAAGGAGACATAAATACATGGGTTCAAGACACCATGCTTAAGCAGAGGTCTGGGTATTTCTGTGGAATACATTTATTCTTCAAAATCCAGAGTGACTTAAAAATGTAAATCAGATCGTATCACTTCCCCATTTAAAAGTCTGTCAAGATGATCCAGCAATTCCACTTCTGTGTATACACCCAAGAGAACAGAAAGCAGGGACTTGAAGAGATATTGCACACCCATGTTCACAGCAGTGTTATTCACAATAGTAGCTAAAACTGGGAAACAACCCAAATGTCCATTGATGGATGAATGCATAAACAAAATGTCGTCCATCCATACAATGGAATATTATTCATCCTTAAAAAAAACGGAAGGACATTCTGACACATGCTACGACTCAGATGAACCTTGAGGACATTAAGTGACATAATCCAGTCCGCAAAGGACAATACTGTCTGACTCTACTTCTTTGGGGTCCCTGGAGCAAATTCATAGAGACAGGAAGTAGGGTGGTGGGTGCCAGGGGCTGAGGGAAGGGGATGGGGAGTTAAGTTTAACGGGGACAGAATTTTAGTTTGGGAAGATGAGAAAGTTCTGGAGAGGGATGGTGGTGATACTTGCACAACAAAGAGAATGTCCTTAATGCCCCTGAGCTGTACACCTAAAAGACGGTTACGATGGTAAATTTTGCGTTATGTGCATTTTGCCACAGTAAAAACAAGGCAACCAGCAAACCCTGCGGGAGTTTCCCAGTTCACTTAAACCAGAACCCCAAGTCATCTGCGGGGCACGGGTTCCCCATGGGCTCTTCCCGCATTTGACTCGGCCCAGCCGCTCGGCGCCGGCTTCGGTCCTCCCGTTGCGCCCCCGCCCAAGCGGCTCCCCGGGGGCGCCGCGTAAGCACTAGCTGCTCGAAGGCAGGAACGACTCCCGCCCCGGGCCCCCCGCAGCGGGTCGAGGGAAGGGTCTCAGAACCACCGCCTACCACCGGGCTCCGCCTTCGTTCCCGGAAGTCGCCCGCGGCAGGCAGGGCCATCCCGGCGACTCCCGCGCAGCCCGGCGGCCGGAAGCGCGCGCCCGCCGAAGCCTGTCCCTTGCGGCGCGCCGTCCGCGCCCGAAGGCGCCTGCGCGGAGTCGACGCGGCCCCGCGTGGGACGGGCCGGCATGGCGTTCCGGCAGGCGCTGCAGCTGGCGGCCTGCGGCCTGGCCGGGGGCTCGGCCGCGGTGTTCTTCTCGGCGGTGGCAGTGGGGAAGCCCCGCGCGGGCGGGGACGCGGAGCCGCGCGTGGTCGAGCCGCCGGCATGGGCGGGGGCCGCGCGCCCCGGGCCCGGCGTCTGGGACCCCAACTGGGACAGGTGCGGGGCCGGCGGCGGGAGCCTTCCCGGGCCCCGGCCGTCCCGGCCGGTCGGTGTGGTCGGTTCCGCGGAGGGGCGGGCGGGGCAGGCTTGCGTGCGGGTTTCTCTTTCGGTTCTGGCCACAAGGGTGGCTGTGGACGTGGGCCGTCCTTCGACCCCTCTTCTGAGCGCCAGTTTCCTCGTCTGCCCAGGGAGTCGTTCTGAGGAAGGAGCACCGTGATGCCAGGGACAGTGCCTGGCGCACAGGGAAGCTCAAAGTGGTCGTTTTCAGTCCTAGACGGAGGGCTTGGACCTTTGTAGGGCTCTTGTCCTTGTTTCCGTTTCCCAACTTCTGAATCCTCAGATTGGGTGACGGCACGTTGGTCCCATATTTGCGATACAGCTGAGACGGCGAGGTGGAGATGGGCCCTGGAAGGGGCCTCCGCGAGGCGGCCTCGCGGGGACAGGACCAGCAGCCATCTTGAGTAGGAACGTGAGGTCCAGGGGTCCCGGTCCCACCTGGCCGCGCGCTGTCAGTGTTCTTATTGAGCCCTGTGAGTGTGGCTCCTGTGATCAGGAAGCAATTTTTAGTCTTACTTAACGTTAATTAAATTTAAAAACCAGAGCAGTGCAGATCTTAAAATACTGTATTGAAACGATAGTAGTTTTGGTATGCTGGAGTAAATAAAGTGAGTTACTGAAATTTCACCAGTTTCTTCCTGCTTTGTAAATGTGGCCACTTGGAAATTTTAAATTACGTATGTTGCCGGTGTTCTGTTTCTATTGGACAGCCCTGCTCTGGGTTGTGGGATGGTTTACCCAGTCCCAGCTCTTCACTCCTTGACACTCTTGAGTGTGGGGCACAGATCCAATATTTATTGCTGGCCTAGTTGTATCGGGAACTAAATAGGTATTCTTTTTAACCTTTAATTTTTGAAAAGTAAACTTATCTTAGAATCATCTTGTATTTACAGAAAAAGATGATAGAGTACCTGTATACTCCACACTTAATTCCCTCTGTTGTTAACACCTCACACTAATATGGGACACTTGTCACAATCAGTGAACCAGTATAGATACGATATTTTTAACTGACGTGCGTACTTTATTGAAATTTCCTCAGTTTTTACATGTTGTCCGTTGTGTCTTCCCGGATCCCACAGGACAGTCAGGCTTTGACGGTTTCTCAGACTTGACTTGTTTTGATGACCTTGACAGTTTTGAGCAGGGCTGATCAGGGATTTTATAGAATGTTCCTCAATTGGGATAAGCCTGGGGTCATATTCTCTTTTTCAAACATCAGTACAATCTTGTGAATTTCTTGGGCCTTTTTAAGGAAACAGTCACTCAGGTTAAAGGACTGACTTGAGGTAGAGCCGGACTCCAGCCTTGTATGAGGCCAACATTGCTGTATTTACTTGCCAAGTCTAGATTTATGGGGGGGTGAGGGGGGTGGTGTCCATGCTAGAAAGTTCCAGGGCCTCATCCAGTGAAATCTCCAGCCTCTTTCTGAGGAGCCAGGCTTCCTGCATCTGTGCCTGTAGGTCCCAGATGTCTTCTCTGGCTCAGCCCCAGCTCCCACGTGACCGCCAGTGTGGCATCTCGGCCTGGCCATGTTACAGGCACCCCAAGTTCCCCAGGTTCGCACGGCCCAAGCAGAACCCGTGAATTCACCATTATTCCCCTCAAAACTTATTCTTCCAGCACTGCCTCAGCTGAGTACATTCTTTTCCCAGCTCTGCCGGTCTCACAGGCATGTAATTTCTGTTAGCTTGAGGCCAATGAGCCGTCAGAGTGCCTGTCTTCACCAGACTTGCTGGTGTCTCAGCATCTTTTCTGCTGCAGCTCCCTCCCAGCATTCCAGCAGGGCCATCCAGGGGGTTTCCGTGGTAACGGGAGCATTTTCCTCACTGTCCGATGTGATGCCTACTATCCCATGTGCTACTAAGCATTGAAAATGTGTTTAGTGTGATTGGGGAAATGGAGTTTTAATTGTATTTAATTTTCATGATTTTGAATTTAAGTAGCCACATGGTCAGTGGCTACTGTTGGGCAGCACAGCGTCCCCGTCAGTGAGGCCACCCTGTGGGCATTTCCCACCTGCCCTCCCACAGACACTCCTTCCTCCTCTCTGCGTCCCTGGTCCCCTTGCTGTGACTGTCAGTCTCCTCACAAGGACGTGGGCAGCACAATAGCTTCGCCTGTCTGTTCTGTTCACATCCAGCCGCCCAGGGCGGGCCTGGCGCCAAGAGAAGGGGGGCGCTGGCTCCTCCCCTGTGCCTCACCAACCCAGGAAGCCCCTCTGTCAGAAAGACTGGGGGTGACTTGTGAGCAGGGGCACAGGACACACCATCTCGTATTTCTGCATCAGGAGAGAACCACTGTCCCTGGTCAACCTGCGGAAGAGGAACCTGGAGCCCGGAGAAGAAGAGCTGGCGTCCAGGCTGGACCACTACAAGGCCAAGGCCACACGGCACATCTTCCTCATCAGGCATTCGCAGTACCACGTGGACGCCTCCCTGGAGAAGGACCGCACGCTGACGCCCCTGGGTACGTGGCTGGGCCTCCTTGAAGGTGCCCTTGGGGCGCTGGGCCTCTTTGGACCTGTGTCGGGTGTTCTCGACCCAGATGCGAGCCTTGTCATTATTAGTAATAATCAGCCAAATCTGACACAGGCTTTGAAAACGTCCTCGTTAAGGTGGATCCTGCCCGCAGGCCCGAGGCTCTCGGAGGCGCCCCGCCCGGTGCTCCTTCTGGCTTGACCTCGTTGCTGGAGAGCCTTCCTCATAAACGGTGGCGGGTCTCAGCCGCCCCCGCCGGGCGGGACCGCCTCGGTCTTTGTGCTCTTGTGTCTGTAGGAGAAATTCCTAGCAAGGAAGCGGCAGGGAGGGTGGAGATAGAGTTTACAGTTAAACAAATCTCTCTGTTGAATGAGATAGCAGCCACTTGTGTGAAGGGGCTTGTGGCCTGTCCTCAGGCCCGGGTGGAAGTAAAGCTGCGTCTGTGGTATCGTGCATCCAGCTGAGACTGACTTTCCAAGGGCGTTTCGACTGGATTCTAAGATACATTTGAGGAAAAGCATTTGTATTTGCACCCAGGCTGCAGCAGTGCTGAGGCTGTCCGTCCTCACGTGTTAACACCTGGTGGTGGTGATTGAGCGGCAGGTGGTCACTGGCGCACTGACACCCAATCTTGGGACAAAGTTGAGTAGGAATGGTGTGGGGGACCCAGAAATAGTAAACAGGACCCCACCCAAACTTCAGCCAGCCTCCACCATGGCCGTTGTCTTCAATGTTTCTTCCTTATGGGGCTGAAGGTGGCTGGTTTGTCTCATTGATTTTACCTGTTGAAAGCCTGACCCCTTCCTTAGGCCTGAGCCTCGGGAGGGGCTGCCCGTCTCGTCCCCCAAACCTAGTGGTGCTTGGTAAGGACTGAAGTATTTGTGAAGTAAACAAACAGGGACTCCGGCGACGTGTAATTCTCCAGTGTATTCCACCTTCAAGGTCGTGAGCAGGCTGAACTAACCGGTCTCCGACTTGCAAGCTTGGGGTTGAAGTTTAATAAAATCGTCCATTCCTCCATGACCCGTGCAATAGAGACCACTGACATCATCAGCAAACACCTGCCAGGTGAGTGCCAGGCGCCCCCCGGGCCGGCTGCTCCTGAAGGGGCCCTGAGTCCTGTGTCTCTCCGCAGGCGTCTGCAAGGTCAGCACAGACCTGCTGAGGGAAGGCGCCCCCATCGAGCCTGACCCCCCCGTGTCTCACTGGAAGCCGGAGGCTGTGGTAAAAACTCCCCCCGGGCGGCCTTCCCCGGGAGCGGCCTCCACTCTACCCCTGGGCTCCTGGCGGCCCCTGGGCTCCTGGCGGCGGGCCCGCGCACTGCCTCCATACGGACGATCCCTCCCTCTGCCCCCAGCAGTATTATGAGGACGGGGCGCGGATCGAGGCCGCCTTCCGGAACTACATCCACCGGGCGGACACCAAGCAGCAGGAGGACAGCTACGAGATCTTCATCTGCCACGCCAACGTCATCCGCTATATCGTGTGCAGGTGAGGCCCCAACGGGGCGCCCGCGGCCCCGCCTCCCCCTCCCCCGCCGGCCTCCCGCCCCGCCCCCCGCCTTGCCCCACCCCATCACGGCCCCGCCTCCCCCCTCCCCCGCCGGCCTGTGCCCCCAGCGCGGCTCCCCCTCCTCTTGTCTGATGGTGCCCGCCAGGCCCAGCCGGTGGTCTGGTAGAACGGCTTTCTCACGACTGCATGTTTTTGCTGGGAACAGACCAGACTGAGGTGCCCCCGTGGGCGGCCTTTCCCGGGCGATGCTGGCGTGGTCGCTTGGTGTAGGCGCTGGGCGCTGCCATTCCCAACGCGAAGTCCCACTTTGTAGGAGGCAACGCGAGCGCCCGTTTCCCTGAGGTCCCGCAGCTGGTTTCAGCACCTGTGGATGGCTCCTGCCCCCGTGGTTGTGCGTGGTGTTTGCTTAATGGTTTCGTATGTCCCTTTGTTTGTTAATTGGAATGTGTGTGACGAAGGACCCACGGATCTGTTTTGTGCAGGGTGATAACCTGTGAGCGCCTTAGTCCCTGGCAGCTCCAGCTGCTCCTGCGGGGCTCCTGTGTCCGTGGGGCAACCAGGTCCCTTCGTCCTGGCACCAGAGGTGCAGGGCCCTCACAGTGATGCCTGCGCTGAGCCCCGGGCAGAGTCACGGAGGGCCCTGGACCTGGGAAGGCCAGCTGGGTGCTAGTGTGTTTGACCACATCCCACTTAGTGCAAGTGGGGACCCAGCCTCCCCCGGGGCCATTCAAGGTGCTCCGCAGGTGCTTCAGGAGCTGAGGGGGTCCCCCTTCTCACGAGGGCCCATTCGCTTGCCCTCAGAAGCCGCCCGCGTGGCCCGGGGCGAGCAGCCCTGCGCCGGAGGAGCAGGCTGCGGCGCCAGGTTCCCGGCCGGGTTGAGAGCTGCTGGGAGGAGGGGCTGGGCTTCGGGGGCAGCCCCGCCCGTGTGCCGCTCAGGGCGACTTCGGGGCTGTGTGAGCACGCGTCCTCCCATATCCCGGGACAGCACTGACCCCAGTGCTGAGGGCCGGCCGGAGACGCCAGGGCTGGGAGCGGCCTGTGCCCCCAGGACACGTGAGGGCACTCTGCTCCCTAACTTAGGGCAGTTTTGAAAGCGGTGAGGGTGACGCTGAGCCTTGAAAAGTCAGCGTGTAGGTAGTTAATCCTTTGAGTCGGCAAAACCCGAGAGGGCGCGCCAGTGGGGGGCGGGCCCCGGGGTGCCGCTTGCCCACCCCGGTGTCCTGGGGCTCAAAGGGGCCCGGTGGCTCGGACGGAGGCCCTAGTCCTGCTGGGCTCTTCAGCAGATACCAACTGTGCCTAAGAAGCGCTAAGCGCATGGAATGCTCCGGGTTGTGGGTGCCCCTGCCGCACCTTCTGGCTGCCCCCGTCCCCTTTTGGTGACACTGGAAGAACAATTCAGTTGCATGCATTTGTTAACTAGTGTGTTTGTGACTCACATGCAAGCCTTGAGTTGGGTTGATCCCCCGTCCCAGAGGGGCTGGGCTGTCACCTCCCCCTTGTTTGATTGATGGGTTGGCATCCCCCCGACAGTTCTTTACTCTGAGAAACCCCATTTGAAAATGGGAGGGACTTGCAGGTGTTGGCCCCAGCCCCAGGAAAGTCCCCTGAGGCCTTGTCATCTGGGGTGGGCCCCTTCCCAGCCTGTGCTCTCTCCTCCAGGGCGCTGCAGTTCCCTCCAGAAGGCTGGCTCCGCCTTTCCCTCAACAACGGCAGCATTACGCACCTGGTAGTCCGGCCAGATGGCCGAGTGGCGCTCAGGACCCTCGGGGACACGGGATTCATGCCTCCTGACAAGATCTCTCGCTCCTGAGGGCCACCTTGAGGCCCCGCTCTCCTCCTCAGCCCCATGCCGGCCTGGTGTGGGTGCCACCGAGACCGCGGGCTCCTCCCCTGCCCCCACACAGGCCGCGCCGCAGGGCCAGGGCTCCAGGGCGCAGCAGCCGGAGAGAAGGATCCACGAAGCAGTGCTGCAGCGCTGAGCTTCTGGCCCAGGATGCAGAAGGGAAGCACTCAGGTCAGATCAGCTTCGTCTCTCGCAGTGTCTCTGCCTCACTCTTGTCCACCAGGATGAGCCTGTTTCAGGAACAGGAACGAGCAGGCCTGTTTCAGGGACTGGACGAGGCCCCCAGATGCCGTCCCCACAGGGGCCGCGGCAGACGCCGCAGCGAGCTGTCCGTCAGTAGAGCCCGTCAGGCAGGAGGAGGTGGGCACCAGCGCTCTTCCATTCGTAACTTATTTCGCTGCTTTTTACACTCTTTTCATTTCCTAGAACTCTTTGTCACTTAAGTTTTCATCGATTGAAGATTTTCCTCATCTGGTTCTTGTTTTGAAAACCCATTTCTCACTCCCGAGTCACACAGCCCTGACACTGTTGGATCTGAACTCCCGTGTGTTGCTAGGCCTTTCCGACACAGAGGAGGGGCACCTTGGCAGGTGAGGGAGGTGACTCGACCTGCTGCTCTCGTGGGAGGGGCTGGGCAGTGACGGACCAGGAAGGGCCCTGTTTCAATGAAGTGTCTGGCTGACAGCTCAGTCCTTGTTTACCTGTGGCTATTAATCTTTTATGCTTGTGGATTAAAATATTTAGATACAACACGTCCATCCCAAATCTCCATTTATTTAGACGGAAGTACAATTTCTATGAAGTGGTTGTGAACATTTTTGCAATCAGTGCAACTAATTGGGATATTCGATCCATTTCTGTCAATTTTGGAAATACCTACAAAATGAAATTGTGTTTTACTGGTTTTTCAAAGTACTAATTGTGAGTGTTTTAAAGGAAGCAGGAAGCCTGTGCAGCGTTAACAGCTGCAAACTTGCTGACAGATTGGGCAGAAGGCTCTTCCCCCAGTATTTTGTGCGCCCTGGGCTGACAGTTTTGCAGGGTGTCTGCCCGCCAGGGGCCTCAGTGAGAGGCCCTGACCCAGGACAGTGAGCTCGGTAAGTAAAAGCAGCAGGCACACACCATTCTGCGAAATAGTTGAGACAAGTTACCCAGGGGCTGTGCTAACGGCTGAGACCAGAAAAGCCAGAGGCGGCACCGTGTCTGGCCTCGGGCGCCGTGAGGCCCCGCGGCCGGGCCCTGGGCCCCTGGACCCTCGGGCTTGCGCGGCCACCCTGCTGTCCTGTCTGCAGACCTGGCTTTTCCGTGGCGTGTCCACCCGTTACACTTGACCTTTGAGAAGCAAGGCAGCATTTTAGAAACAGGAAAGGAGCCCAGGAGCAGGACAGTGGTGTTTGGACGGGGTCAGTTAGTTACAGGGGCCCAGGGAGGTCGCACTGGAAACCGCCCCGAGGTAGGACAGATGACCGAGAACTTCTGAAACGTCGGGAACGTCATCCTAAGCTTGACCAAGGTGGAAAACCACCCCAAGAGCCCGTGTGACAGGAGGGATCCTGAGCTGACAGCAGTGGGAACAGTAGTGGTTCCTACTGACCGTGTTGCTGTTTGTTCCAAAATATTTTCTTTCTTTTGAGACGGCTGAGGAAGGAGGCCGAGGGCACGTGTAAGAAGAAACCCCTCCCTGCGGGCCTTGCGCGCACACAGACCTGTGTGGTTCCAGCAGCCTGGGGGGCAAACCCGGCTGGGGACGCCTGACGAGGCAGTCACCCCACAGCTGTTCCCTCTGAGCTGCAAATGCCTCTGGAAACATCCAAACACTATCCCGGAGGGTCCGTCTGGATCCAGGAGCGGGGAACCTTCCAGAGCCGCCTGCATGCAGCCCGTGGCACCTTAGCCTCTGCCCCCCGCTCAGAGGGTTCCTGTCACCTCTTCCCAACTGAAGAAGCGACACACTGTCAATGTCAGAAAAAGGTTCCCCATTTCCCAGGGCAGTTATAAAATATTCGATAGTTGAACTGAAGCCAAGGTTTTTCACAACCGTGTTGTTAGGAAGGAAAGGGCCCCAAACAGCAGATAAACCACTCTCAGATCAATGTTCTGTTTAACCAAAACACTGCTTAAAAGTTTGCTAAAAAGGACACTTTGCCTGGGCACAGGCGAGAGAGGTCTTCCTGAAAGCTCAGAATGATGATCACATGGTTTTAAAAATAATTTATTTCATTAAGTAGTTTTAAAAAGACAAAATCACCACAGGACACATGACTATGCATTCAGTGGAACCGGGGCCAACTTATACAAACAAATGGAGAAACAATCAAAGAAGGCCTAAACTTCAGAAAACAGGAGCAGAAGTCTGCAAAATACGGGCAAATCACTTTAGCTTCCATCTGAATATTTACAAAAATATATAGGACGCCACGGTCAAATATTAGACAAAACAGATCATCACTATGACTACATCTGTGTTCTGATTTCTTTGAGAATAGAGATGTCTTTTAAATGCCATTTGGTTTTTAGAACAGAATGTATTTTTCTGTCTTAGGCTTAAGTCGTCTGCTACACAAGTGAAAACACCCTGTGTAACAACCTTTTGAATTTTAAAATCCAAATCTTGGTTCCAATATTCCTGACCTGCCTCTCGTTATCGTGTGAAAGAAATAAGTTTCTGGGTTTTTTTTTACATAAATTTAAATTCAGAATATTTACAACTAAAAAATCTCACGTCTACTTGCTATCACTGTATATTCTCAAAAAGTAAGTTCGGGAAAACCAAAAGTGATTTACAAAAGGCACTGAACTCCACAGAAGCGTTAGAAGTTTTCACTTTGGATAAAACACTGGCAGTGTCCCCAGAACACCGCTGTGAGCAGTCGTTCGTGACACCCAGAGAAACAGCCCTCAGCTCAGCTGCAGCGTCCTGGCACAGAAAGCTCTGTGCGCAGACCCTCCAGCAGGTACAGCCAAGGGGGAGGGACGACAAACTGCACTAAAGGAACGGAGCTGGGATCAGATACGTCCTCCAAAGTAAACCTTTCTTTTCTGTACCAAAACGCAATGCTCTTTCATAAAGCAAATCCAACTGAAATGTGTTCTAAAATATGGGGTACATTTCGAAACTAGGCAACGCCTTTCAGATTATTTTATTACCACTGCACTGGCAGCTAAATAAGGTGCACTGTGAAAGGTCAAGTGCTGGTGAAAAGGAAATCACCTTCCAGTGACTGCTGGTGAGGGAGCTGTGTGTGACTATTTGCATGGCTCCCAACGGCTAGATTTTCTCCAAGAGAAAAGCTAGTTTCATCCTCTGGTCACTCACTTAAATGACTCAACTTGTAAGTGTCGCTGCAAGTCCCCAACACGTTGAAGGCTCGTTCACTCCTGGATGCCCACCTCGCCACTGTCTAACCAGCGGGGCTGAGCAGCAAAGCAGAGAGGCTTTTCTGTCACGAGCCAGGAAGTCAAAGACCCTCCCCAGGAAAGGAAGAGGCACGAAAGTCACCTGTGTTTTAGGAACAAAGCTGAAGTGAGTGCAGCTACTCTCAGGGGACGGGGGCCCGCGGGGCGCCCCGGCCTCTCTGGCGCCCTCCTGTGCCCCTGGGGCAGCTAACGAGCCTGTCGCCACCACACTGACGGTCTCCAGGAAATCTGCGTCTGAGTTCGCTTTCACCCACTTCTCTCCAAGTATCAGAAAGCGACATTTTATACAGGACACCTGCATCTTCTAAAATTCTTTTACCCTCTAAATGAGAACTGATATTCTTTCTCTGGGTGAAACTTTAGCAATAAACACATTACCTTTCCTTGTTCCTTTTTTCCTTTTGTTTTTTTTTTTTAAACCCAAAGAAAAAGCTGACCACCCCAGCAGCGCGCACGGGCCCTACAAGGTGGCGAGCTGGGCCAGGCGCGCCATCCGGTGGAGGTGGCCCCTGCGAGCGGGGCTGTAGCGCCCGGGGCTGCAGCGCCCGGGGCTGCCGCCGCTAGGAGGGCCACCGATGTCCAGCAGCTGAGACTTCACCTTCCCTTTCAGCGAGGGGCTGGGCCAGCTGAGGAAACGGAGAACGGGCGGTCAGCAGGGACGGCGGGGCGGGGTGGGGAGAGCGGAGGCCACAGACCGGAGCCGCGCCCCCGACCCGGGGACCGCTGGGGCTCCGGGAAGAGACGCCTCCCACGTGACTGCAAGCTCACACTACTGCGTCCCGCACGAGGGGCGCGGGACCGGAGCGGAACCCTGGTTGCCCCACCCCGCCCCCCTCAGCTCTCAGCAGCACCCCTTCTGCTCCGCCACCCCCGGCCAAGGGCGGGGAGCTCCCCCGTGAACCTGGCGACACCGTCCGCCGGGCTGCAGGTACCTCTGTCTGTCCGCGGGCGAGTAGCGCAGCACGGCACTCCTCCACCTGTGCAGGGCCGGGTACTGGTGAGGGTCCACGTCCGCACACTCCAGGGCCGCCAGAACATCGCGATCCAGTTTTGACGGCTCTTCTCTAGAAGGTGCGAGAGAAGCAGAACAGCCGTGACCACACACGCACCTGGCGCCACCGCCCCCTTCAGAACCAGCAGAGCAACAGAGGCGTGTGTGAGGCCCCAGCACCGCCACCGCAGGCTCCGGCGGTCCGGCCGACATCCAGGCAGCGGGGGGACGCACTGCCCGCGGGAGGAGACTCCGGCCCCAGCCCTGCTGGGAAGATGCGCTCTGCGTACCCCCCCTCCAGGATGATGGAGCAGAAGGTGGGACGGGCCATCAGCCGGGCAACTGAGACCGACCCCAAGACGACCTTTCTTCCAAAAACAAACTAAACCCACAGGACAGCTCAGTGATTGTGGGAAGCAAAGAGGCTGCAAGGACGAGTGAGCAAGGAGACCACCATCTCCCACCGGCCTGGAGGACACCCGAGGAGCCACATAGACTCGCGAGGGAGACGGAACCATAAGTGCCCGTCAGGCAGGCCAGGGTGGAGGGAACTGTCTGGGAATCACACAGTGGCGCCCGTGCCCACTGCCCCTCGACGTGTGTGTGCTTCCCGACTCATACCCAAAAAGGAAGAGGCTCTGGACGGACTCTTTCGAGGCAGGGACCCCCGAGGGCTCAGAACTGCCACCGTGACAGGCCTCTTGCGTGGGACTGTCGGGGTCCAGGCACGTGTCAGCCTTTCCAGCTGACATTCCGTGCTCTGTCCTTCCTTGGTCATTCCCGAGTTTGTCAGCAGCAAGAGGTCCTAACATGTCACTTTCTGCTGGGTTCACTCTTGATGTCAGGATCTTCTTATCTCTAGTTTTCACAGTTGGACGGGGTGTCTTATTAGAAAAGCTACTTTGTAGATTCTGCAAATTCAGTTTATCAAACTCCACAGTCAAGCCGGAGACAGGTGACAGGAAGGCGTCCTCCCCACTTGGGGCCTTTGGCCTCTTCCCACCCAGGGTCTTGCTGTCACTCGGGGGGCTGCAAAACCCATTTCTGCTGCTGCGGGGACTGGTCGGGGCTGAGGCTTCTATGAGGTCTGTCTTCTGCTCCAAGGGAAGGATGTCACACCCCGAGTCTCCAAAAGCAGCCACCGTGGGCTGGGTGTTGTTTCGGGCTGTGTTTTGCCGGTTTTTGATCTCTTCCAAGCTCATGTCATCATCTTCATCTAGAAACGCCCTCACGGAGATGGAATTGCTGCACTTCCTGTGACGGCCTGTGAGGGAGAGACGGTATGGATGGGGGCTGTGGGGTGTCACCCCGCACAGCGCAAACCCTGCAACGAGTCACTCCCGC